CTCCTCATATATATGGAGACAAAGAAATCTAAAATAATATGTCTAGATCAGGAGCAAGAGAACACACCCAGAGTTAAAGCATATTTCTTAAAAAGAGACATACAAAGAGTAACTTTGATACATTTTAAGTTGCAAAACAAATAGAGTTGCCAATGTTCTTTAAAAGCTTAAATTTTAGGACAATTAATGATCCTTGGTTTTCATTCAAACATGTTAAAACATTGATGCAGTTCATCCACATCTGTCAAAAGTCATGTTTCTTGCTGTGACTTTTGGCTTTCCTCTTCTTAAAAATAATCCCTGAAATTAGGATATAAATGACTTCCATTACTTGATGAAATCTAGACCTTGCATTGGCCAGGCTTCCGGTCATGTATTAAATGGCATTATTATTAGTGTATAGAATAAGGTTAATAAAGATTTGTGATATTTGATGGTATGCCCTCTCTACCAAAATAATGACTGGAGTAGAAACTTCCCCTGCACACCCACAGTTAGTGGCATCCCTACTGAAAGGACTGTGCTTGCCAAAACCCCCCTACTTAGCATAAGACACACATTTGGCACTTTAAACATTCACCGCAGGCAAAGAAAAGACAAACACCATAAAGGGTATTAAAAATATGCAAAAACCTTTCATAATTGAGGTTAGAGGTAGACATGGTTTAATCTTGGTGAAGACTCAGGTCACTACATCCGTCGCTTAGGATATCCACTAAACAAGCCCAGCCATCCATCACAGACTCTGCGATTTATTATTCGGGTCTGGAGCCGTAAGGTGAGAGGTTAAATGAGGAGCGTTGCGTTTGTAGTTATTTGCAGAGAGACCAGAGAGGGCCTTTGCGTATCCACACATACACACACAGATGTTTAATCAGCCTTGTGGATGTAGCCGCTGGAGCTGAAAGTCAAATATAAAGCCTTATACAAACATGCATGTGTCAAGCAGTCACATTCACTTCAATTAACACACAAACATCCTGTCTGAAGTAATCACATGCTCCCAACGCAATCCTTTCTGGAACACACACTCTTCTGCATGCATTCATGCTGTAGTGCTATAGCCAGAAGGCTCCAGTGCTATGGGGCACCAAACCATGTCTCCTGTCTGTAAGCTAATCTTGATAGCAGTGTAGATGCTGTCACTTTGGCTTCTGATTCAGGTTAATTGCCCCTAAGCTCAAATAAAGTGGGTCTGGCACTATGTGGTCAGAGCTTTCACATGCTGTGTATACCTACTCAGTTGAAAAGAGACTCAAAAAAAGAGAAAAGCCAAGTTGCTGTATGGGCTTTTATAACAAGTCGCAGCTTAAAAGCTTTGCTGCTGCTGCACTCAGGGTTTTTTTTTTCATATATTAAAAAAATATATATCAAAGAGTTGGAGTGTGTCTGTGTGCATGTCTTCTCCATCTCACCAGCCTCATATCCAAACCAATTAGAGTGGCCAGATGGTGGGCTGGACTTGCAGTAAATGGCTGCATTGACAGAAGAAGCTTGCAACAAAAATGAACTGTGACAAGAGGCCAGAACGAAACACGGATACACCCCTGCATCAACGCACCAGGCAAATATCGAGGATGTGCTGCCATAGCCGCCCCTAACCAACTGTCACCTTACTGGGTTGTTACCACCAGAATGTAACAGGGCATTATTCAGTGGGGAGTGTGAAATAAAAGTTAAAACCAAACGAGGGGAAGCGGCATGAATGCATGCATGTTAGCACCAGCACACAGACCTCTTCGCTACTTGCCCTGCTGTTAAAATGTTACCAAACCGGTTTAGTCAGAGTTCAAACAATGCAGCCTTTGAGAGGTGGACTTCTTTCACTGAGCTTTCAGCTCAGCCTGCACATATCAGCCCCCCCACACACACACCTGAAAACATAGACTGCCTCCCTGCAGGAAAATTACTGAAGCTCCACCTACACATTCTTCCAGTCTTTTCTCAGGGCTTAGGCTCAAGATTGGGAAATTATTATTTATTCGTGTTGAAAAGAGTAACGCGTGTTCTTTCTCACCCGGCTGGCAACACTTGCACTGATCTGGGTTTTTATAGTAGATGCAGTTCCTCCTTGGAAGTCACCGGGTAAAATTTTTTTAAATTTAAATTCTTGATTTCCAGGAACATAAACCTTTTCTGCAAGCTGAATTCTTATTGTATTTGAGTGCCCACAGAGCACACAACCCATCATTCAATAAAAGACACCAAATGGGTCGGCCAATCTCAATGCAGTATTATCGTTTAGGGTGGGACAAAGAAATATACATGGCAGTGCAGGAGGATGATCACATAGGTGTTGTTCTCCCAGCTTAGTCAAAATCTACAAATTTCATCAGTGAAAGAACAGTAAGAAGCACTTTGTCCATCTTCTGGTAGCAAATATGTTTGTGCCTTCTAGTTACAGGCTGGCTAAACCTGAATAACGGAGACTATGTCACTTTTTGTTCTATAAGCTTGGAAAGTTCAGCTGAATGTCTCTTCTTCCTTGGAACAACTGGATACAAGCAGACGGTGACTGATAATTTGTAGAATTAACCCAGTGCTACACATCATCAGTCTGGTTAGCCATCTTAGGAAAATATAACACTAAAACAAAAATATGCTGCAAGTCCTTTGATAGTCTGATTCCATCAGAAAATAATATCATATGCATAAATTATCTGCCAGTTCTGGTTTTTAATGAACAAGCTTTAATACACATGCTACTGGTTGATATGGCCATGGACTGGGAAATAGTGGGAACTACATTTAATTCTGTATAAACAAAAAGGTTCAGCTTCTAACATGCTGATTAATTTGTTACATCAATCCTGTTAGAGAAAGGCGCCTTTATAAAAACTACCTCAATATCATATGAAGCATTTTATTTACTGCTGCAATGGGAAGACTGAGTGATGTAATCTCTGAAATGATAGAATTCTACTTTTGGATCCTGCATTGCTCGTAAACGGATAAATGATGAACTGCAGAAAACAGTCAAAGTTAGAACATTTCAACTAATGTTGATGCAAGTAAAAGCCATTGTGAATACGCTACATTAATTCTGACTTTCTGGAGTTGCTTCAGTTTAAAGTTAGTACTCTGGAGCAGAAATGGAATAAAGTAATAGTGGCTTGAAAAAGTATCCAGGCTCCATGAACTTTTTCCCATTGTGTCACATAACATCCGTGTCTTAACACAAAAGATTTGCACAATTGTGAAATGCAAGGAACGGGATACAGCTTTCAACTTTCTTTACAAATAAAAGTAGAAAGTGCACACCTTGTGTTCTGGCTCCTTTAGTGTGATACCCTGAAAAAAAAAACTACTGGAACCCATTGTCTATAGTCATAATGTATAATTTTAGTCCGAGTATTAATCCAGCTGTGCTTAAAAGGTGTATTGGAGAACATCAGGGAACTAACAGCATCACTAAGACCAAGGTAAAAAGCAGGTAGGTTTAGGGATAGGGAAGTTTAAACCCGTGTTAAAACAATATTCAATATTTTGGATATGATGTGAAGGAAGGCATCAATCAGAAAAAGCTAATGGCTAATAGGCTAATAGTTTATCTACCATTCATTTGTGTAGGTAAATTAAAGGATTTGCCAATGAAATTATTTTTTTTTCACTTTTAAAATAAGATAGTTAGACAATATGCACCTAAAATAGTGCAATTGTTTTTTCTTATTTTAATTGTAAATTGACATGTTCCATCGGCAAAGTGTCTCACTTCCCTCCCCAATTAAAAAAAAAAAAATCACTTTTTTAAAGAAAAAATAACTTATTTAGATTTGAGTTTTTGCAGTGTAGGCCCTAATAAGCAAAACCAGAGCTGTGAGGGAATTGTTTAGATCAAAACAGTGGGCTAAAACATAATGGGTCAATCTTGAGGCCAGTGGGCCAGATTTGGTCTGCGACCATTTTTGCAGCCCTCAACATCTAAAACAGTGTATCATGGCAAAGTAGAGGCATATTTTGGGTGGTCTAGTGGTTAGGGCATTGCACTTGGAATCCAGAGGTCCAACTTCAAACCCCACTCCCACAGACTGCCACTCTGGGACCCTGAGCAAAGACCTTTTACCCCACACTATTCGCCAGGTGCAGCACAATGGCAGCCCACTGCTCCCCAAAGGGATCGGTTAAATGCAGAGGTAAATTTCTCCTCTGTGAGAATAATAAAGTTAAACTATTATTATGGTGTACTAAGTTGCAAAAGCTGCTTAATAATATATCAGAGCGGCGTGCTGTTGGTCAATTAAATAAAACTTCATTTATTCAGCTGCATCCTGCACTTTAGAAGATTTAATGCTGAAGTTACATGATATAAAAGGAGTTTCTTCACCAGGTTAAAATAAACTAGACCTGATGGCTTGACCCCCAGTGGATCCTGACTTCATATTTACACAATATGAAGGTAATGTTGGGAAACTGCTAACATTAGAATAAAAATATCTCATGAGTTACGCTTACATAAGCACCAAAAGTCTGCTTTGAAATCTAAAACTGGAGTTATATCTGATTTTATATTGTTGTATTCTTTCCTGTAAGTAATTCGTTCTAAAACCCTCGATGCTTAACAAGTGAAATCCTTATCAGCAACTAAATCCCCCGTTCAACATCAATATCTTTATCAGCAACCCTAAACAGACTGTTAAAATCCTTCAACACAGGTTTCTTGTTCTGCAAAACCGTTTCCCCGACACTTGCTCAGTTTTCTTTTTTTTCCCTACATAAGCCCGTTATCGCACCTTTGTTGACATACACAGAGATTTATCGAAACTGAAACGAGACCAGCAGCCAGACCAGGAAATTGGAGTTGAAAATATAGAGGGTGGTTCTCGTCTCTGGGGACGTTGTGACAAGAGAGCGAGGGGCCACTTCATATCTAGATCAATTTATCTATAAATCTAATCAGCAGGAATCAATGAGTGCCGCTTCTTTTTAATCTGTGTCCTAACTCATCCTGCTAACCTGCAGTTTGAGGGACCCACACACTTACAAGAAAGCAACAACACAGAAACAGTTCAAAAACCAGGAAGTCTTTAATATGAACCAAATACGAAAAAGAAAAATATAGAAAGACATGACATAATAGTGACAACAATCCTAATTCAGACCAAAATAAAGTCAAAAATTAAAAGATACAAAAAAGTTAAAACAACATCCACACAGAGCAGTCAATAGTAATAAAAGCACATTTTGGGTTAAGAGTGTTTTATAGCGTAGTTGTGGCGTGTGTGTGTGTTTATATATGTGTATACAGTTTAAATTCACCAGATTTGGCAGCAATCACAGCGCAGCAGTCAAGAATAAAGCACTCAGAAAACATAACTCATAAAGCACTGCAAAATAACAGAAGAGAGAGGAGACTGTAATAGAAGAAAAGAAATCCTTCATGCTTGCTGTCACTGAGTAATACACAAATGTGACACCATAAATTAGTAATTCTTTTTCCTCTGCTACATATTTATATATTTATACTATGTACACAGGAACGTTGTTGCTTTCTTTTCTTTTTTTTGTCGGTAAGCGAGTGAGCTGAGAGATGTTAAGGCTTTGATTTGTCATCAGATGTCTGGAGCCAAACAAACAGCGAAGGGATGTCGCTTTTTGGAGTATAGGGGGAAAATATCAGATTTTTTTGACTGCATTGCCTTGATGCTAGACCCGAGCCAGAATTGTAGGGTTCACTAAAAGCATTTTGTTTGACAAGCATTGCTGCAGTGAAGAGGTGGATGTCACTGTGTTTGCATCTTAGGGGGTGGCAGCGACACGCTGGGGTACGAGAAGTCGGGAGGGTGACTCTCTCTGGTGTCTTTTAAAAGCATTGGAAGGAGTAATTTAGGATGATCAGGAGTTGGTGGCATTTTAATGAATCTATATTCCCAACAGCAGCAAAAAAATGCTCTGAGAAAAACGCTCAGAATATTGGTGCAGCTTCTTCCTTCGAGGAGGAAATCTAGAAGTAAACATCTCGGCATCGATGCCTTTTTGTTTTATTATTGTTTGTTTTTTTCATGATTATTTTGTGTGGCTATGTGTGGGCTCATGTCAGAAGATGGCAGACTTGTCAGGTATGAGGCGTCTGCTGCACCAGTTTGGCTGTGGGAGTGAGCATAATGAGAGCGAATGTGGGGAGTTTGTGTGGGCGAATTGTTTCTCCACATCCTGCCAATGTATACGTGTACAGCAGCTGTGCATGTGTGCAAGCAAGCGCACCTTTGAAACTCACAATATCTGCAGCTTTACGCTTTTTAAACAACAGCAGAAGACGGCCACTCAGGTTACAGTTTGGGTCGGGATAGTGTCACCAGGAAAGAAAACCCAACTAACTGCTGCGCACAAACAGGAAGCTGGCTCAGATGCATGACTTGGGTGAGGAAGGAATCCCAGATAAATGTGATTTTTCTTTTTTTTTCCTGTGCAAAGACGCTAGAAACGGTATGTGCTTATGTGAAAACGCAGGCTATTTGAAAAAATAAAAACACGTAGATATAAAAATCAACCTCAGGTGATGCGAGGTTGGTGAGTTCATTACGTCGTTAAATTGATCTACATTCTAAAAGCCTGCTGGGACATTTGAACTCGAGGCGAACTCTGACCTCCTTGCTGCGGGTAAAAACGGGCTCCTTCAATCCGATATTTACAGTTTCAGAAATATGTACATTTTCACGAGACAAATAATGATTACATATATAGTACACAGATACTTCACACCTAAATGTACATAGTGTTTTGTTTCTCCTTTGTAACCTTTTTTTTTTACCCCCCAAAGAAACAGTTTCACACTTATATTGTTCATTAAAGTAGTGACAAATACAAGTGCAAAAAAAGTAATACATTTTTTTATATATGATGTGGTTGTGACAAGTCAGCTGTGTTCAATAATGCTGTTACTCACCCATATATGCATAAACTAAGGCCATTAGATGATAATCCTATTGAACACACTGGTTTACAATCTGCCATACGATGCTCAAATGCTTAATGCTGTCAACATTTTATTAGCCTTCTGCGTTTCCTGTTCTCTCTCTGCCAGAATACAAGTTGAGACTTTGAAAAGCTAACAAACTGGCATGGGCCAGTTACAAGTATCAGAATAAATAAATATGTCTTCCTTCATATGGTTTCTAAAGTTTCAAGTCCTTTTAATAAGAATGTTTCAGAGGGACTCTTTCTCCAGCTGCATATATATAATACAATAATATGGCAGATCCCCTCCCCCACCTGCTGCTGCACAGCATCAGTCAGCTAGCTAAAAGAAGCCTGTAATCATAGTCGCTCGCCTACAAGTAATGAAAACTTCTAAAACATTTTATGTTAACCGGAAAAAAAAGCTCCTCTCATCAAAATTCTTTAATATGATATTTTCTGAATTTGCTGAGGTCTGTGGATCAAAAAATGTTTCCCAAATACATTGAATATAATAATTAGGAAAATTATATCCTAGTTATTAATTAGTGATTAATGATTTTTAAAATTCCCTACACATTTTTTGGATTTTCTTTTAATTTTGCCTGGGGGTTATTTTTCCTACATCCTTCACTTTAACTGAAAATTAAAAAGGTGGAGGTTTTTATAGTAGCAGCACTAGAAACAACTTCTGCGTTTCTTCTTTCATTAAACCTCCATCATGTTCGTAATCTTCATGTGCATTAATAATTCAATAGGTCCTGAGAATCCTTCCACCAGTCCATGCCTAACGTGTGCTGAAGCATTTCCCTGCATCAGTAGGTTGAGGTTAAAGAGACATGATAAGAAATGGAGGCAATCACATCCATCTACCCTTTGGTGAAAGGTCAAGCTGGTTTTGAACGGATGACACCCTCAAAAATGCCAACCCAGAGCTCACCTGGCCTTGATATCAATTTAAATTACACCAACTTGATTTTCCTCTAAGGAGGTCAAAGGGGAGTCAATAAGAAGGGTGGGAAACTCATGAGTAGAAAATCTTCTTATCACAATTACCCAGATGCATGCAAATGTACCTTGAGCCTTAAAGACAGTACAGTAGCCATCAAATCTCATTTTTAAAAGGAAGCCCCAATGGCTCATTAAAAGGATGAAGTAACCGTGTGAAGAAAATAAGCCCTGCCCCTGCATCATAAAGGGCCATTTCCCCACACATTCCCCATCAATAGCAAACCGTTTTAAGTCTTCCAATCAATTTGCCACATCTAACATCCGCTAATGGAAAGTAATATAGGATCCTTATTGAAAATCTGTCTTATCTACTGCTACGGCATTATGGAGGCTCTGTTACATCCGGCCATTTAGCAAAGTGTGAAAGGCGGAGCTGGGAAATGTGGCTACTCTAGGTGGATTACTCAGTCCTGGTGTGTCAGAATGGGCTGGAGTCAAGTAAGTGGGGAATCAGATGGATCAGGAGCGGTAAAATACTCCCCCTGATCTCGATGGCCGTGACCTCGACACCGCCCCAGATAAATCACACCTTCCAATAAACTCTGAGGAGAATGGGGAGAGAGGAGGGTGCTCCTGGTGGCAAAGGATAGAGCGGAAACGCCACATCATAAACGATAAGTGGCGCAATCTGTTGGTCCCGGCTAGGCGAGCAACTTCATGGCTCATTACCAATCAAGCTCCTCCTGTCAGGAGGTTGAAATGAGAGAAAAGAAAGGGACAAACACCATTCTACTCCTCCTGCATCCTTTCCTTCATCCTTCGACGGGTCACATCAGCTACACCTCAATCATTTATCTAGGACCTAACTTCAAGCGACAGAAAAAAAAAAAAACTTTCATGCAAAATTTAAATTTAAAAGTAGTTGCAAATGATAACTTCATCAACTTTTCTATTTGTAGAGGATTAAAAAAAAGGACCAAAAGCTTCTCTTCGAACCTTAAGAGACCGATGTCGGCATTGATCTACAGAGTGGAGAGTTTAAAGGCAGAGAGAGCAGAGTGAACAGAAGCAAATACATCATTCACATCTTCTAATACACCTGATGGTTTCTGTCTCTTTTTTAACACACCAACACACCAGATGTTACAGCACAACACATTACCAAAACAAAAAGGCTTCCCACAGGAGGACTCAGAGTTACAGGCAACATGGAACTGCTCGACAACCACAGTATTTTTTTTAAGTGAAGTTAAGAGTGAATATGCAAGTGAAATGCCTGTATAGCCAAGCTTGTATTATGATTCAATTTCCCTCCTCCCACACTGTGTATTTTCTCTTTTAGTCTGTCAGTTGAAAGTCAAGATCCCAGCAATGGGGAGAGCATAGCTGAAGCGGTGAGAGAGATGTTGCACTTTTCCCAGTCTGATTTTCTGTTGACGCTTCTTAAAATAGATTTCCATATGCCCTCTTCCAGTCCTGCTCACTGTGGGACTTCATTCTGATTAATATTAAGATACATTTAAAATCAGCTTGCAAAAATAAAAGTGGTATTTTTTTGCTTTCTTCAATCTGACAAATATAAGAGCCCCAAAGCCTGCTTTTCTTTTCTCTCATACTCCTACTCTATATGCTCTCCTCCTCTTCCTCTATACATAAACTGCAGTCCGAGAGATGACGGAGCCATCCCGCTGTGACTCCATGTCATCATCAATGTAATCTCCAATCATATGATCCTGTTCGGGAGGCGGGCGCAGTTGCAGGATTGGGGCTCCTCCAGAGAAGTGGTCGTAGCTCTCGTCCTCCTCCATCTCATCGAACTTCCTCCTCTCAGCTTCGTCTAATTCGTTGCTCAGCAGGATGTCCTGGGCGGTGGGTGTCCCGGCGACGACCTCGGGTCGGGCGCCCATGGTGAACGGCTGGTGGTGGTTGTTTTTCTCTCCCAGACCCTGGTTGGGCGAGCGATCAATGTAGACGGGCCCGTTGCTATTACCACCCGTGATGCCTCCGCTCCCCGTTCCTCCGCTTGTTCCGTTCTTGCTCGCCTTCTTACCACCACCGAATATGCGGGTCTTCATGTCGCTGCCGCCGTTGGCCCGGTAACCCTGCTGCTGCCTGCGGCTATGGGTGACGAGCACGGCAACGAGGGCTGCGACCAAAAGGAGGGCCAGCAGGGAGCCAATAACTGCCCCTGCAACAACGCCAGCATTGGAGTCGCTCTTTGAAGGCTCTGTGGGTGGGAGGAGAGGCAGGAAAGGAGAAAATAGAAGAAAGGGAAAAATTGTTGAGGAAGAAGAAAGACACCAGAGAGATGAAAAATAAGAGTGTAAAAAGAGCAGTGGGGAAAGAAAGGGGAAAAGTGAAGGTTGGGAGATGTCAGTGGTGTTGGTGTGAACCTCGTTTAGGCAGGTACAGTCCGTTCTACACTGTAAATTTATACACAGTGCTGTTAAAAATTATTATTTGTTTGCTTACAGATTTCAGTTTTTTCCCTTTTGAAATGTAAAAGTTGAAGCCTCACTCATTCTTATTAACTCAGATGATCAGACATATATAATCTGAGAAAATATAAAATAATGATTCAAAATGATGATTTCATTTACTGAGAAAGAAACATCAAACCAACCTAGTCCATTAGGGAAAACAAACAACCCTGCATTTTTTTTAAATTAAGAATAGCTGATGATTTTTTTTTCTTTAAGGTATTTTATAGAACCTATAAAGCCATCTTAATTTTTTTGTTGCAATTTTTTATAGTAGGCAGTCAGGAAAGGGGAAAGGAGAGCCTCTTCAAGGACCAAAGCCTCCATTCACCCTAAACCCACGCACCAGAGCCAATGTATGATCAATTCTCTTTGGAAAGCCAAGATGAATTTTGCTAGACACATCTACGCCTGTGTACATTCAGAAATCACTTAAGTAGAGCCTGTCTGATAACAACTGGGCTCAAAGATCTCCAAAGGGCAACAAGTGCTCTGATCTAAAGCAGTTCAAAAAGAGATAAGAAAGTCATTAAACTCTGCCATTCTGGAAAGGACTACAAGGCTGACAAAACCAGTTAATAGGTTTAGGAGCCGTTTTTTTCCTCCTCCACATTGGGTTGGCACAAACAGCTCTTCTGCTTTGAAATCAGCATTTTACTTAGATTTTCTTTATTATCATCTTTGAGCATTTAAAAGAACACAATGAAAAAGATGTAGAAATCTGTAAGCAAACAAATATTTTCTTTATGGCAGTGTGTGTAAAAATGTGTATGTTTGCTGAGCATTCAGGTACACTAATAGACCCTTCCCTCCCTTTAGGCTGCTCCTGTCCCCTTCACCACAGCCACATCTTTACCATGTCTAAGCTCTGTTCCCCTAAGTGTTGCCCTTCGACAACCAGGGTCTGTCCAAGGCTCAGCACAAATCACAGAGCTTACAGGGGTGGGGAGGGGGGGGAGTTTGGGAATCAGGGGTTCAGTCCACACACACATGCACACGCACTTAAATGTACACAGTGTCTGATGAGGTGGAGAGCACACGGTCAGGAGCAGAACAAGTGGAGGCCATGCAGAGGAGAAGAAAGATGGCTAAGAATGAAGGAAAGGAGTAGATGAAGAGATGGAGGATTGCTGAATGAATTAAAACACGACAAAGGAGAATGACTATTCCTCCTTGAAGCAATGCATCAACAGCGACGCACCCCCCTCTGCTTTGTAATTATTTTAGTGCAGATTAGTCCGAGTTGGATCCATTTTTTATTCCAGCATCTCAAAGTCCCAACAGCCTTGTTCCACATTCATAGATGCACATGAAAAAAAAAAAAAGTTCATTTAATGGCTTTGTTAGGGTGCAAACTAACTTAAGAGGATAAGAGCAAAAGTAGGGCTCTGCCAAATCAAACACACCATTACTACTTGTGCGTCTGTGCACGCAAAAACACATGGGATAGAGCAGTTGAGTCTAAGTCAGAGTTTTGATGAGGTCCCAGGTGACTCGTCAGCTGCGTAGCTCTTACCACTCCCTGGACACCCATGTCCAGTGGTATTAGGGCCGTGTTTTAACTCAACCTTTAAAGCACATGTTTGTGCTATTGCTTTTGCAAGCAAAGGGAAGTGCTAATAAAGACTGCAGCTACGTTGGAAACGTTCCCTCATTCTGTATAAACCACAGCATTGTTCATGTAAATCCTAGTAACTGTTCATTTGGTTTTTATGTACTCCATTTAGAGCTATAAAAGAGCCAAATAAAAGGCAGTCTTGACTTTGAAAGCTAATTCTAACACTGCTCATGCTAACATTTAAAGCTAAATACTGTCTAAGCAAGATTTGAGAAATTATGACAAATTTCATTAAACTTTTAAACAAGTAAACATGTCACATATATGTTCAACATTTCAACATGTTAGCCGAAGATCGAAGATTTTGTTGCTGCTCATGTTCTTTAAATAGCTTAAAAAATTGAATGGATAATGGGTAAAATTAGAATTGTGGCATGATTCAAAGTCAGTGCTGTGAAGAATGATTGGATTAATGATAATTTTAGAGCAAAAGCTGCTAAATAATGCCATCCATCACCTCAGAATCAGGCATTAAATCCTAGGCACCCTCCTGGGATTAATCAGATATTACTGCCAAAACTACTCAAGTTACCTTTTTTAAAGTATGCCATTGTGTTAAAAAAGTGTGTTAAAATTCTGTCTAATGGAAAAACCCCTTTTCAGTTTAAAGTCCCGTTATTAGTTGGAGTGAACAACATTGTGTCCACTTCTATGCAGTTCAGAGAAATAAGTGCTTGTAAATTGTTGCTTTTAAGTTTTCTCTTGTTTAGAAGATAGAAATTCAACTGATGTGAATATTTACAAAAGCCATTCAGTTTTTATTTATTTATTTATTTTTTTGAAGAAGAAAATCAAATCCTAACTTTTTTTAAACCATCACTGGCAAGCCCAGGGTGCCATGTGCTTTTAACATTACTGTTTTATAAGAAAAATGTTATTTCACACATTATGTTAATACATCAAATTACATGAAATGAAGCCATTTTCCCCTGCGTAGTTTGTAAGATGCAACAACTTGAACCATAAAACTATGTTATTCTTTAAGCCTTTGATGTATAATGGAATTAAAGGATAAATATGAAGCACAAAAACAATATAATGGACACATCCCTGCTAAAGTATATAAAAATGCTATAGGTAAGTGGACCACAAAATAAAACATTTCAATTCAGGTAAATCTTCCTAAGGAGACATTTTATTCAAAAGTTACAGCTCTTCTCTAATAAAGACTCCAAAACCCCAACTAACTTCAGCTTTTTAGGCCACAACTTCAGGATTTTAAATGCTTTCTGGGACTCAGACAACTCCCAATAAACAGAATCTGTGACTGTTTTCTCCCAGTACGGTCATCATCTATAGACGAGTGGGCTGGGGGCTTCTGGCTCTACTACATCTAGAATTAATGCTGTTTGCAGCCACGGTACTGTGAAGCTGCTTGGAAGAATAATGCCCTCCAACTCGTTCCAGTTCTGCAGCATGGCACTATGTGACAACATATCAGGAGAGTTAACTTAAACAGAAAGGATGACTACATCAGAAAGACAGCATAGATTTCATTTCATAAGCCGTTTCTACAGCAACACGTAATCTTTGGAGATTTAAAGAGTAAGCCTACTTTTAGAAAGGAAATTGATTCTCTTTGTGCATTATTCCCACTTTCAAAGGATTCAAAGCCCTCATGTGATACATGCGGTAAGATTTCCCTGTATTTGACATGCCATCATGTAAATCTTCCAACAGGTCATAGAACATCAATTGATGGGCCAACGATTTGCTATGGATTTGGAAATAAGGAATCTTGCATCTCAAGGAAAGAAAATACAGACAGAGATCCAGAAGTTATTTATTTGTGCGTCTGCAATGGTGCCAGGCCCAGTTCTCACGTGGCTTCCCAAGTCTTTCATTTGAAATGAACTGCTGTCTAGTCACATAAATCCAATAAGTTTCACCTGGATAGCATGTACCAAGTGGTCAACAATTGTTGAATAGAATAAAAAATTTGATTTTATGGTTGTTGTTTCTAACATTGTGTAGAGTATTTACATTAAACCTTCATTATTCTGATAACCCAAAATAAGATTAAGGAATTCTAATTGTTCAGTCATCCTTTTAGAGTCTAATTTAATGTTAAAATAAATAGAGCAGTTCTTTGGTGGCCTTATTAGGGACTATTTGTCAACAAAAAGCATAACAAAGACGGAGGAGAAAAATAGGACGAGAAGAATGTGATTACAGTAAGTTACTTGAAAAACAAATCCCAAGGTTTGAACAGCTTTAAGGGTTCAAAGCATACCCTTAAAAAGGAAAGAGCGTATACAGATAAAGAATTTCAATTCACCTAAACTGACAGTCTAGGCAAATGGAACATTAATTAGAGAAGCAGTCAAGACATCCATGGAAACCCCTGTTCAAATCGGAGAATTCATCTATTGGACAACTAACAGAAGGTCTGACTGACTTTAATGCACGTTAGAAGAAGCAAGTTAAGCTGGAAAAATCCATAAGAAGTTTGAAGTTTACCTAAAAAAAAAAACAACATTCAAGAGCCCAAACTGAACCTATGAACCTGTGTGCATGGCAGAGATGCTGCACATGACCCCGATTGCACGGTTCCAATAGTAAAGCATGGTGGTGGTGACTAGAGACTGACACGGGAGTGGATTTTCACTCCTGTCCCGTCCCACTCACACAGAAAAAAATGGTGTCCCGTCCCGATCCCGGGCCACAGTAGAAATCTAAATCTTGTCCCGTCCCACTCCTGGTGAAATTACTCCCACTCCCATCCCGCTCCCATTCAGAATGACTCCTGCTCCTGCACCACTCCCATTCTTGTTGTTTTTGAGCGTGGGTGAAAAACTCAGAGCGGAAGTTACTATTGGTTTGCTCCCGCTCCCGTCTGCTCCCGTTAATGTTTAATCCTGTACCGTCCCAATCCCGTGATCGTTACTAATACTGACTCCCATCCCACGGGAATCCCACGGGAATCCCGTGACCCATGGGATTCCCGAAAAAATGTCAGTCTCTAGTGGTGACATTATGGTGGGAGGTTGCTTTCCTTCAGCAGAGACAAAAATGCTGTCAAGTATTCATGCAAAGATGGATGGAGCCAAATAGAAAAAGAAAAACTTAAGGGCAGAATATGAACGCTGAACGCATAGCTAAAGCTAAGATGAAATAGTTTGGGTTAAA